AGGACAAACGAGCATTTCGGTACACCCCTGATTGATCGTTACTCTCACACTTTCTATTTTAACCCCTACCTCCTTCACAACTCAATAAAATTAATGAGTTGTTCACATCGGAGTAACACTAATTAATTGAACGATAAAAAGTCCGAGTAATTGACTTGCCCACTGGAGAAACAGTCGAGTTACCAAGTATAATGAACAGCTTTGGAATCCAACTTGGGAAATAAGTGAGCACTTCCAATTATAGAAATGCTAAAAATTTATAATTGCACCTCGGCAGATCATAGGCCATTCATTGTGGCTGATTAACTCAGTTCAGAAATTTCATTTCTTACGAAGCTTGGGGTGGGGAAAGAATAGTCGAGAGGCTCGATATCGCCAGTTGGATCATTTATAATGAGTAGAAAACTCAAATCAAAGCATCTTATGAAAAAATTCAATGAGAATTCACAATTATTTTATACTTATATTTCTTCAAAAATTTCAGATCAGCCAAGAGAAAAAATTAATCGTCCATCCAGATTACTTTAAATTCAAAAGAATTTTTCATTTTTTTCAGGAAAAAAAAATTATCCAAAAATATTTTACCAGAAATGTTATTCGACCAATCGTAAATCATTGAAGAATTTCGTTAGGGAGAAATGAATAATTCAATTAGTGGAGTTGCTCGAATAGAAAATAAATTATCCGAAATGACGACTTGCCGTGGAAATTTCATCTAAACTATTCAGCAGTGAAGTTGTAAAACAAGAAAAGTGAACTTAGTTCTTCTGTGGGTTTTTAGCAGTATCTCCGCAACTTATGGAGATAACAAAATTATTGTAAGAACCATTTTTGTAGGTCCCAATGATATCTCCAAAGAAGATTTTACCAAAAATTTCGTTATCTCGGTTAATTTCGGAGATATTCTGAAAAAACCAAGGGAACAGTCACTTACCTAGTTTCACCACTTTACTACGGGCTTTAACGCCGGTATTTCCACATCAAATATACTCAGTTGATTAACTTGCTCGAAAAACGTATGAAAAAAAAATCTGGTTCGTGAAAAAAATGAGACTACAGCTTGACCACTACGGTATATATTATGATGGGAATTTTTAAAATCATCCCTCTACCCCCCAGACGTCGGTTAAGGGTAGTTGGCGCGAATTGTCTCGGCTTGAATATAGAGCGAGAGCGATAAAACAAGGATGGGGTAATAATAAGTCCAGTAGCGAGCGTGAAGCTAGCTGTAATAAGTCTGTCGTAAGGACAATCCGCTTTTCTCCGGTTTTTATCCCAGCCTTATCCCACCCCCTGTTCGCGTCCAACCCACCCCATCCCTGCCACATCTTTGTGCATTTTATTTTCACAACGAGACAACAGGCGCAAACATCTCCACCTCACACCTTCCCATACAAAAGATAAAATGCAGTTATAACAATTATTCTTTTGCGTATGCTAATAAAGATAATTGCTCTGAGGTGCAACAGAGATTGGTTGACCCCTCAAAGAAAAAAAAAATTTAATTCCCAGGAATGTTCTCGTAATTTTAACTGTATACCGTTTTCCTTGCGGGAAAAACCCCCCATCCCTATATCGCCATGCAAATATTCTTTAAACGAACTTAATCTGTCATTTTTATTGAATATTTGCAATATAATTTGTTTTTGATGTTAGTAGTAGCATCCCCCTAAAGGGTAAAAATGTTGTTTCAACTTAATGATAATGAATACGCATGTGCTACCAAAGAGCCCGTGGGCTTCTCATTGAGGTCAAGGACCCGTCGAAAGTGCACTGCTGGTTAAATCACGCTTCGTCTCACATTTTCCCCCAGTAGAAAGTCTTAAAAGTCCCATCGTCAATGTGTACGTGTACACCTCACCTGACTCGACTCTCTCTACCTCTGCACATAGTTTTTTAAGAGTGAAAGAGGGTGAACGTTGGGGGAGAAGGGGAGGCATTGCATACGTTCGCGTATGTATCTCAGTTTTTCGTTTTTCTCTCCTAGAATTTTTCTTTTCCCTCGTTCTCCTTTTTTTTCACGCAACTGGACCTTTGCACGAGCCAAAGTGAGATGACGGTATTTCTATGGGTACTCATCATTCACTCCTCTTCCATGCACTCGCCTCCCACTCTTTAGTCTCCCTCGGAATTCCAACCCCCAACCCTCATCCTCTTTCTCTTTCACTTCTGCAATGGCCTCCACGAGCGTACATCCATGGAAATCTCTACTGATGGTAATCTGTCGGGCTTTTAACCACGTGTCCCGGCCAGGACCGATATAACCCGAGCATTTGTCCGTACTTTTTATTTTTCTTCTGGCGAAATAAAAATCGTCCCCGGGTCTTTTAAAAATATGGTGATTGAGATAATTTTTTGACACTGCACCGAGCAAAATATTATAAATAGAAATTACTTGACCTTCGCGTAATTACGGACCGAAAGGTATGGTTAAGGAAAAATCTAGTCATACATTTTTTTAATCCACAATTCAAGAGAATTCTCGTCTTTATGTCCGTTTCAATCCCGAATTTTTATTGCATTTTCAGGAAAACGCGAGAATTTATCATTTTTATAATCCCTAACTCGCATTTATTGCGTGTCGAGAGATCGAAATTTTTTCAGAACAGCGATTTTCACATGGAATTTCAAATTTCGAATCGTGAAATTCCAGTAAACTCACTACACAAGCAAATATTCACAAGGTGTTCTCAAAATTTACAGGCCATAGATGAGTCTTTCAAAAAAAAAAATGACCCGTGTTGCCCATCGAGTTTCACCAACACATGAGCAATAAAAAAAGAAAGGAATTTAATCCAATGAACAACGACCAAACACTGACAATTATTGGCGAATATCTATCTTTAGTGATTATCAAATATGTCACCCCATAATTGGATAATTGCTCCTGGTATAATTGAAAGAGAAGCAATAAAATTCACGTTTGAGAAGGTTAAATGTCACAGAGAGACGAACTGAATGAAGCCGGGAGTAATTCGTACGGAAACCGTTAATTATTGGGCAAATGTGGTAATGAGATTATTAGGCAAATCATCGAATATTCGTTGAATAAGGGATGGGAAGAGAGGGAAGGCCCACAAAGTGGCGAGTGACGAGAGTAGTAGACAGGATGTCGCTATGTCATAGGATTTCTCCCTCTCGCCGACTCGAGAGGGACTTCTGTATTGGAGAGAATCCCTCTCGCAATATACAAGAGCACCGACTACCAATGCCAAGCGATAATACGACCGCGTTAATGCGCTTACGCGAATAATAATACGATTCGCATATTCAGCGAAACCTATATGATAGGTCCCTTTCTCTTTCTCTCTCAACTATCCCCGGAACTTGCTCTCTCTTGTATAATCTGTCTCACTCCATGTACCCCAGCATTTTCAGTCGTCTGGGTGCATTCCAAAATCCCATTCGTACTGGAGGTGTACGCGCACATTGCTCCGACTAAAAACCATCACCCCTGTACCCCCTAAATCGATCCACTGGTCTTCCATTCAAACGACCGTACCAAATTTCCAATGGAATTTCAACTGCATCTCGAGTGTTTCCCGTCATCTCAATTCAATTCCACCGCATTTTATTCCACCGAATTATGTATTTTTTTCATTTTATCCGGCATTGTTTTTAATGGATTCAGGAGAATTTTATTTGTGACAAGAGAATTTAATATTCAAGCATTTTTTAAAAATATGTCTAGCACGAATTTCCTCATTTTTCCGAAAATATGGTTCTCCTCAAAATTATAGGTAAATAATAATTAAAATTAATTCTAGAGGAAAAAGGTTTGATTAAAAGAATGACGACTGCTTTAGAAATTTAAAGTCATGAGAATAAGAAGAAAACAGTTAATGAACTTGAAATGCGGTAAAAGTGAATGGAGATGATTAAATAAAAAATCGAGAGTACCACCCCGTAATGATAGCGGCGACCCCACGAGAATAATTACAATTGTGGCTCAAGTCCAATAGAAATGCCGTTATCCCCCGCATTATCAGTGGATTCGTGATGATGGCATTCATCCAAGGTCGAAAAGTTAAATAAAAATCATTGGACTTCTCCTCGAGGAGCAATAAAAATGAAGAATTTTTTTCTGTCATCACGAGATATCCGAAAGCGGGTGAGAGGAAAACAAATAGCGAGGATGATAATGAAAAGGGAGGGAAAAAAGAGGAGAACCGCGGAAAAGTCGCGGAATACCTGAGCGTAGTTTCACACGACGTTCAACTTTCTCCCGTAACTCGCAATTGCGCCGACATCTAAAACTTGCCCGATGAAGAAGTTTCTCAATCTCACTAGTATATGCCGACCGCCACCCCCTCACCACCCCCTAAACCCCCGCCACAATTTTTCTGTATAACCCCTTTTATTTTTTCCAGTCGCGTGCATCTTCCACTTCAACTTTTGTGAATAACAAAAATAAGAATTACCCCTTGAGAAAAATAATCTTTTGTATTCAGATATTTCTTATTGACTATCTCGACTTTGAATTGCGGCGAAGTCGTTATTTATCATAAGATGTCCCCAGGGTAGAGGGAAGGGGATACGGTCGTTTAGGACCAGACAGAGGGTGTCACACTGGCACTTGACAGCTCAGAAAAACCATTCATTCTCGAGTGATACCGATCATTCCACACATTAAACACACCATTTGAATTTGCACACTCTGAAGACTTTTATCACACACGTGTCAGAAGAGCCCCGTAATTCTGAGTATTTACCGAACTATCCACTCAACATCCATATCGAATAACATCAATAACTAACCAAAACCAATCGAAACAGAACCGAGAGATTGAAAATCTTGACCTTCCATAACGAAAAAAAAAAAAGTCCTCTGAAAATTACTTCCTGATTTTTGCCTATTATTTTTGTTATTCAGTATTAAAACCGAATAGTTTTTCAACTAGTGATAACGAATAAAAATTAATAAATGATTCGCTAAATTCTACAAATCGTCATCATATTTCAGCACAGTGAAATGGAAATAAAAATAAACAGTGACTCACCTATTGGTATTTTCTCGCTGGCAGCCGCTGAAATTCCAGGCACGATGAACACGGTAACCAGTAAAACTCCAACACTCATCATCCAAACTGTGTTGAACTTAAATTTCTTGCGTAAACTCTTCGTAAACGTAAGCGGTGGATTCCCACCTTTAACGCGCACCGGGAGCATCATTCACGCTCCGTAGTCGGACACAAACTAGTATCGGGGTGGTTTTGCCGTGAACTCGGGCGGTCGGTTGAACCGCCCTACCATCCCCTTTCCACCTCTCTCTCACTTCCATTTCCCACTCTCCTCCTATCCCAACCCCCACCCACCTCCCCAAACCTCCCACCTCGACCC